ACAAATGCTAAATAGCCTGGAGCCGCACAAGGGTTAAGCCCATTGATTCCGTCCTGTCAGTGGGTGCTCTTCTCCGTTCTTCGCCCATTTTTTCTGGGGCCTGGGACTTCTCCGTCATGTTTCCTTCTTGGGGTTCTGCATGACTTTTGGTCTTGGGAGCGACTGGGCTTTTCTGTGCCTTCATCATTTGTGCTTGCTTCTGTGTTCTCAAAGATTCGAGACGGTTTTTGCTCCTTCCCGTATTATTGAAAAGTCTGTCGTCTTTCGGTGAAGCTTCCCTCTGCTCTTTTCTTGAGCTTGTTGGTCCTCTTCCAGGCTTCTTCTGGGTTTTTGGCCCTGTCTCATTCTTTTGTTCGTGTCTCTTCTCTCTGTGCTGCGTCTCGGCACTGCTCGTTTTCCTTTCCATTCTCCTAGTCCAGGATGCCGGATTGGGCTACTTGTAGTCCTGCTGGGCTACTGGTGGCCCGCTTGTGTTCTGATTCGGTTCATTGTTTTCCTTCCATGAGCCGGCTATGTGGGTCATTGCTTACTTCGTTTTGGCTTCTGTTCCCATGAGTTGGCCTGTTTCTTCAGCGAATCACTCAGGATATGACCCGTTGGGCTACTTTTCTGCTCTGTTGTTGAACAGAGTAGAAAGGAACAGAGTAGCCCAACCATTGGGCTACTTTTCTTTCGTGTCCTGCGAAAGAAAATTGGCAGGCAGTTTTTGGTTCAGGGCGGTGTTCACGTGTGCTGGTGTTCTGCGTCCATTTTCTCTTGGGTGCTTCGACTCTTGCTCTTCTCATTCTTCAGTCTGTGCCCCGTTGCTCTTGGGGGTGTTCTGGAGTGCCGCTATGGGAAGGTCACCGGGTTTTCCCTGCATTTTGGGTGGGGGCGCCTCCTTCGCCGCTCCCCCGCTCTTCTCCTGCACGAGCGGCTCTGGCCTGGTTTCGCGGGCGGTGCTCCCGGTTTTCTCTGCTACGGGTGTACGATACCCTGGCCGCCTCCAGCGGCTCCATTCTCATAGACTTGTGTCATGACCCTTCCGTGCCTATGTTCTGCAAGTGAGTTGGTGCGGTCTGGCATCTCCTTCATCCAGACGCTGTTTTGTTTTTGGGGGTACAAATGGGTGTACATATGTCTTTAAGAACATTGAACATACAAACGGGTTCCTGCAGAAGGGCTATTAGCCCATAAGTGGCAGCATTTGTTTCTAATCACCCGATTCAATTGTCAGATCACATGTGACTGCAAGAGGCCTCTTGGCCCATACGAGGTGGCTCCTGACTATACACATCCTGACCCTCTCCTATGCATGTCCAACCATGCTTGAGTTTCGGGGCCCCGCCTCCACCTTGTTCCAAGGTGCAAAGGTGAAGGTGCCTGTTCAGTGGTACATGTTCCTGTGTCAAGGGTGTTATGTACTCACCTAATTGTGCTCACCTAATTGTGCTTGCGGGGTTGTGTTCTGGCTCTTTGGTCCCGCCTCTCAACTGTCATTCAACTGACGTACAGATTCCTGAGCCTCCTGGGCTCTATCATCTCTACATTTGAAACTGTGCATGGGGTCAGCCTCCACCACATCACTGCCTAATGCTTTCCATCTGTTAACTACTCTGACACTGAATAAGTTCTTTTTAACATCCCTGTGGCTCATTTGGGTACTCGGTTTCTACCTGTGTCCCCTTGTTCGCGTGCCACCCATGTTACACAGTTTATCTTTATCTACCCTATCAATTCCTCTGGGAATGTGGTGACGTTTTGCTGTGGTTTAGATACTGCGGCTGCGTGTGGGAATATGGTTGTGGCGTTTTGTTTGGCCCTTCCATGCTTCTTTCTGAGGCCTGCCTTATTTGAGTTCTTTGTTCCCATGATTTTTCTGGTTCCCTCATTCCTTGCCGGTCTTGCTGTACCAGGCTTAGCTATACCATGTTCATTGGTTTCTCTGTACTACCATCGTTGTCCTCGCCTAGTTGTGCTTGCTGGGGATGGGTTTTGGCTCTTCGTCTCACCCCTCACCTGTCATTCGATTTCTGTTTAGGTTCCGGAGCCTACTGGGCTCTCTTATCTGCACTTGACGTTGGGTGTGGGGTTGGCCTCCGCCACATCCCTTCCTCTTGCATTCCTATTGTCTCCTGCTCTGACACTGGTATGCTGCTTCTATCTTTTATACGGCTCATTTGGGCGTTCAGTTCACCTTGTTGGCCCCCGTTACGTGTTCCCTCATGTGTTGGTGGTCATGTTCCCTCCGGATCTTCAGTCTCCTGGGGGCGTCTGGGACATGTCCAACGACTTTTGGGTTGGTGCTGTCCCTTCGTTCCAGTTTGCTGCCTGCCTTCTTCGTTCCTCAGCTTCCTTTTGTCCTCCACGTTGTGTGTTTTGTTTGTGCCTTTTGGCTTCTGTTGCCGGGTTTCGATTCTGGTTCCTGGCTTTCCCGGCCTGTTGGCATTTTCAGAGTCTCGCAGTCTCTCTTCTCTGGAGTCTGTCGGGGTCTTGGTCTCCACCCTCCTGGCGGCTCGCTGGCCTTGGGATGTTTTTCGGTATGGCAGATGTTTCATCTCCTTTGCCGGCTCAGGTTTCCAGCTCTGCCTGCTTGGTGGTTGCACCTGAGGTCTTCCCACGGCTCTGCCTTTTCCTTGGCTCGTTCGGCTATGCCTCGAGTCTCGCCTTCTGTTGGTGGTTGGGTGGCTTTGTTGCTGGTGTCCCACCTGCGTGCCTCTTCTTGGCAGCAGTGTGGGGTATTTTGGCGGTTCTTCCTTTCCCTTCTGTCCCTTCTTTGGTGGCGGTGTGTTGTTGGCGTGGTCTTGTCCTTCTCTTATGTGGGTTCGGGGGCGTCATTTTGCCACGTACTGTCGCCTCGTTTCGTTCGGTGCTGGCAGAGCCGCTTCCGCTTGCGTTCGGTGTTGATGTTACTTTTGCGCAGTTCCGCATGCTGTCTCATGCTTTGGTTCACCTCCGGCCTGCTCATGTACCATCTGAGCCGTCCTGGTCGTGGGACTGCATGCTCTCTCTTTTCTTCTTCTCGGTTCTTGTGCCCCGTTGGTTCCGGTTGGTGTCACGGGGCTCTTTTTTCCTGTTGGCATTGGCCTCGGGGGGGTGGGGAGGGGTCGGATTGATGAGCTTCATGCTCTCCTCCGGCGCTGGGGTTTATGCTCCTTTGGTCGGGGCGATTGTTTTGTTTCTCTGCGGCCTTCTCCTTCTTTTCTGGCATAGAATGTGATTGCTGCTTTCCGGAGGGGTCCCTGGGTTGTTGATGCCTTGTTGGTTTAGCCGGGGCTGCTGCAGGTTTTGTGCCCCGTTGCAGCTCTCCTCCGTTTTTGGCACGCCACGGCTTGTGTCCATGGACGTGCTTAGGGTTGATCCGGTTTCCCTTCTTCCCTATTCATGGGTGCGGGTCTCCTGGGTCGTCTGCAGGGTGATTAAGGCTGGCCGGCCTGTGGCCTCTTCCTCATGCCCGTTACGTTTGCAAGTTCCCAGCTCTTGCTGCCGTTCCTTGAGCCTGTGTCTTGGGCGGACTTTTGGGCGTGGGGATTTTGGCGGTCAATCTGGGTCCTGGCTGCTGGTTGCCTTGTTCACGTTCTTAGGCCTGGTCGGGCCTGTGTCGCTTTGGGTTGACAGTTGCAGCCGGTTGTCTCGCTTCGTGTTGAGGTGTGAGTGGTAGCCGCCTCCCGGATACGTCCCTTAGACCTTTCTCTGTGGGTAGGTAGCTCCAGGTAGCCGATGGGGCTCCCCCCAGAAAACCAGCGTTGGATGTAATGAAACGCCATTTTCTGGGTGAGACCTGGAGGCTCCCCGGCAACCCTCCCTCCCTCCGGTCGGCGGTTTTCGCGTGTTTTGACATCCAGCCTCAGAACTGATGGGTGGATAGCCGGCATGAGAGGTCTGGGGCTCCCCCTTTCCCCTCCCGGGAAGGGGGAAGCTGCGCAGACAGCGGCACGGTGACGTGTGATGGCATACTAGTTTACTTGTTTTAGGTTGGGGGGTTCTGTTCACTAGTCCGGCTTTTGGTAGCAATTTTAACCAGAATAGGGGTTTGTTTTGGGACGCTTACCTTTATGAATGCTTGACCCGGTCGATGGCAGACATAGAATGCTTCCAACCACACGGGTTTCTATAGGCCATTGCTCCCCTTGCCTCTTTGAGGGGGCCATGTTCTGGCCGTGGTCCCCGGTAGGCCCTAAGAACTCCATACACATGACTGAGGCCAAAGTCAGACATTAGCATATCAGCCTGGTATAGCTCCGGGGAGCCTCCGGGTCTCACCCAGAAAATGGCGTTTCATTACATTCAACGCTGGTTTTTTCCCTCAGTTATCGCCCATTATTGTGATACTCCATAGATTGCCTCTTTCATTCCAGAGTCATCTTGTGGAATGAACTACCACTCAATTTGTTCCCAATGCCTTTAATGTCCAATTATTCCAGAACTGTCTGAAACTTTTATAACATGACTAATATTTTTCATTTTTGCAAAGTTATACATTGATGAATCAGCAACTTTGCAATAGCCTAGTTTTAATATACATGCAGTACTGTTTATACATTTTTGAGTATACAATTACATCGTTATAGGCCTTTCTTGGTAGTATTCAAAATTGTACAGTACTTTATATTTTCGAAGATTAAATATATAATTTATATATGAGATTTTATTATAGTGCATGTCTCAAGATACAACACCATGGGAAAATGGAGATACGTACTGTACTTCCATAAATTGCCACTAGGGGTTTAAATTACATCTATTTTTATACAGTAGTACTGGTACTGTACTTATTAAATATCAAGCAGAGTACAGATAAAAAAAAATTATGAAATGTTAATGTATATAGCATCGATATGTGCATCAATACTAATATTGGATAATGTAGCAAAATAATTTCCAGAAATTTGGCCAATAGGAAGAGACATCTTTAGTTCCATGGTCACTTTGTCTTAATGTGTGATTTATTTATTCTCTGAATAAACTTATATTTTGCCGAATATGCTAAATTAATCTCTCGTATTAATAATTTTTTTCAGAATTGTAAAGGTGTGGTGGTAAATATTCCAATGCCTGGACACACTGTAAGCGAGAGCCTTGAACAGCAAGTGAGAGGTGACGTGGCCACTCTTGAGCAGCTTATTGACGAACACGACGTTATCTTTCTTCTGATGGACTCTCGTGAGAGTAGATGGCTTCCTACGTTACTAGGTGCTGCCAAGTGCAAGGTATGTTTACTAGTGTTTTATGCATAGCTTTTGATTAGGCATTTTTATATCAAATCCAGACAAAATTTGAACATGTTTTGAACTTCTGAATTTACCCAAATATATTTTATTGCTGTAAAGTCTTTAATATTTTTGTTTATTATTGGCAGTATTACTACATTTGTATGCAACATAATGGTGAATGGGCAAGTGTCATTTTTTAATTAATAAAAACCTTTTTTAATTACACTACAGTATTTTTTGGGGTTAGCCCCATCGGCTCCCTGGAGCTATCCAGGCTGAATGGATATGTATAACTTTCTGGCATCGGTCAATGTGCACGGAGTTCTTGCCTACCGAGGACCACGAGCCAGAACCTGGCCCCCTCAAGAGAGGCATGAGGAACAATGGCTTATAGAAATCCCCATGGGGTTGGGAGCATTCTATGTCTGCCATTGACCGGATTTAGCACTCAGAAAGGTAGGTGCTCCAAAGCAAATAACTATTCTGGTGAAACTATTGCTACCAAAAGCCGAACGAGTGGACAGAACTTCTAAAGCGAAAATTAGCAAACGAGCATGATGTCATGATGTCTCCGCAACCCCCCCCTCCTCGAAAGGGGGAGCCCCAGACCCCCATGCTGGCAATCTGTCCTGCAATTCTCAGGCTGATTTGCTACTGGCGTGGTCTTGTGCCTCTGGCTCCAACTATTTGTCTCAGATTCTGTGCCTTGTGGCGTGGACTGTCTCTATTGGTGGTGTGCGAGCCAGGAGTAATATTCTTCAGTACTTGGGCTGCATGCGCCTAGGGTCACCTTTCCTAGGTGCCTTGTAAGTACTGTCCTTGGGGCCACCTTCCACAAGTCACCTCGGGATCTACCTCACTGTGTCTTTTACTGCTCGGTACTTGGCCGCCCTTGGAGTCAACTGGGGTCTTTGTTGCCCTGTATTTGCCTCTGGGTACAGGGTAGTTTTCATCACTGATAGGGGTGCAGGGTACTGCACAGCTAGTTTTCACCTCTTACAGTGGCCGACTCTGTTCCACATGGGTATGTTGTCCTCTTGCAAGGTTTTGATCTTGTTTTTGTTTTTCTGCCTGGTGAAGGGTCTGCCTTGGTGGTCGCCCCTTCTGTGTTGGGGTGTATATATCTATCATTATATCTATTCTTAGTTTTTGTGGGGGTTGGTGGTACCCCCTTGCTAGGCCTACCAAACGGCCCGTGGTGGCTTTGGGTGGCTCCTCCTCCTTCAAGGGGTTAAGTAATTACAGAGCTCAAAATACCTCATACCATTTGGTATGAAGTCACTGATAACAGGACAATCACAGATATAGTGTTGGAGAGTATGTTCTCTCAAGTAGGACTGAAAACAGATTTTTTTTCCACCAAGAGGGCTATAAACTCATGGAACCGCCTACCCGCTGAAACTGTAAATGCCAAATTCCAGCTAAAAAATATCATTAAGACAATTGGCGGGCCCTTTAACAAGCCGCCGGCTTTCTGTCCTCTTCGAGGCCACTAGATAGTTAGTGGCCCTTGGGTAAATTCAGTAAATATATACAATAATTGTCAGCGCATCTTCCGAGCAACAAGGACAACTGCACAGTATCTCTTAGAATTACGTAGGTAAACAACAAATGTAACATATTTGTTTAATACAATGTCGGTGCTGGCTGTAGAAGTTGAAAAAACATTGTTTTACTTTGAAATATACTAATTTCATAAGAAAATTTGACGTAAATAGGAGGCAGTAGAGCTCCGATAAGCCAGCGCTAAATCTTCAATATGAAGAATGTTGCTGCTCTCTGATTGGCCAAACGAAACACAGTAGTGACCTCTATCGGCACGCAGGTGAACCAACAATTTTCTTCCTAAGTGGACCTTATTGAATCGCACCTAAGCATCTTCTTAGGGCGCACTTAGGAACCTTCGTAGCAAACCCACTTACGAAGAAATACACAGAGCTTCCTGAATCTAGGTCCAGATCCGATTGATGGCAGACATAGAATGCTCCCAACCACACGGGGGTTCTATAGGCCATTGCTCCTCGTGCCTCTCTTGAGGGGGCCAGGTTCTGGCTCATGGTTCCCGGTAGGCAAGGACTCCGTGCACATTGACTGATGCCAGAAAGTTATACATATCCATTCAGCCTGGATAGCTCCGGGGAGCCTCCGGGACTCGCCCAGAAAATGGCATTTCATTATATTCAACGTTGTTTTTTTACATCAACATTGATGCTTTTTCATCCCACTGAAGTAGAAAATGAGATAATGATCATATATTTAAGCCTTCAGAATAATTGTTTCTGATACTTTACATTTTAATCCTCATGTAAAGTAGGGACTGTAGAGACAGTCCCTCTGGTCCAGTGGTAGCATGCTTGCCTCCATGCATTACAAGTTATTTCACCCTGGTTCAAGCTCTGGGCAGGGAGGATTGACTGGTCATTGATCCTCCACTTTTCCTTGTTCACCCAGCAATAACTGGAGGCCTTGCTGTATAGTTCGTGGATATTATTTCAGACCACTTCTTTTAATGGTCAAATGTAACACACGTAATATAAGGGGCGATAGTTTCAGGCTCGGCAAGCTACAGTGTATGAAAGAAAACAATGTGCTTTTTCAACCATAAGCTACTGTATATACAGATGGAACTGCTTGTTTGGTGAAGATGTAAATGCAGAGATTTCTTCAGTTCAAAATCCAGTTGGAAAAATTCATCAGGAACAATGGGTGGTGGTGTGGCCTTTGACAAGCCGCCACCATCTTGTCCCCATCAAGACCACAAAAGAGATGGTGACCTTTAGATAAATTCGGGTAAAAAATCATTTGATAGGTCATCACTAGACAAAGCTTCAGGTTATGCTTGACTTGTATTATTTACATTATTTCATGAGTGACCCCCAGTAGTGCACTCTTTCTAGGTATACAATCTTTGTGGTGATCACATGTTCTTATGATTCCCTGGGCAGTTGAGCGGTTTGGGGAGTCCTTTCTAATAAATAAATATATATAAATGTTTATTCAGGTAAAAGTACATACAGTACATGCAGTACATACATACAAGATGAGTTATAAACAGAATATTGGATTTCTAGATAGGGCTAGTACATACTATGCCTAAGGCCACTAGTACGCACAGCATTTCGGGCAAATACGTATTCCTAATGCAATAGTTTGATGAATATTTGTTTCTATTGTCTCAAAGAAATTATCAATCGATCTAACTCCATAAATTTTGTCTGCTGAGAAGTTTGGAGATTTGTCGATAAAAGTTGTCTAATTGTACTTGATAAATCAATGCTTAACTAATTATTAATCCATGCAGAATACTCTATTACCCTTGTACAGTTTTTTTTTTGTATAAATAAAGGCTGGTTTTGAAGGCAGTAACCATATTCATCCATTCAGATGCAGGTTTGGAAACAGCCATTGATTTATGAAACAAATTACCACAACATAATGGAAGTGTGATGCAGGATTGTTACAAGTGGAGGTTAGACATATAAATGAGTGAGTTTGGGTGGATATAAATAGGAGCTTCCACATACGAGCCAGTAGGGCTCCTGCAGTATCCTTAGTTCTTATGTTCGAAATGGGTGTTTTTCTGCCAAAAAAAAATTATCACATGTTACTAACTGTGGATTCAATTTTTTTTATTAGGTTTTATATTTTATTTAATTACTTTAGCTACTTTATGTTCAACAGCTAGTGCTGACTGCAGCCTTGGGTTTCGATTCTTATTTGGTGATACGTCATGGCTTCCGGTGCAAGGAAAAGCAAAGAGAGGAAGGCTCGGCCGGCAGCAAAGCTTCAGAGAGGAATTTCACTGCTCTACGAGGGTGTATCCCAGGAAACCTGCTTGGGTGTTACTTCTGTAATGATGTCGTTGCTCCAGGAGATGTAAGAGTCCGAATATATTGTTCCTTCTTAATGATCTTTGAGCACAATGGAACCACAAAAACGTGATATATCTGAGAAAATATTGAAACCAGCCAATGGGATTGAACACACATCAGTTTCAATATTTTCTTGTATTTTAATTCCTTTTCTTTCCTTTCATCCAGCCTATCATAAATCCTCATCTTCACATCCCTTCCAAGTGCTATAGAGTCGTAATGGATTAATGATCTCTCCTGATCATTTATTTATTCATTATTTTCATCTTTAACCCTTAAAAGGTGCGTGGCTATATACTGATTGACACCCACAGGCGCAAGCGCAAAAAAAAAAAAAAAAAAAAAAAAAAAAAATCTTCCTAACCTGTTAAGTCGTGTTCCCTGATCACGGGAAAAAAATCAGTTGTACTTACTGGCGATGTAATTGAGCCAAGAATATGGGTGATGACGTCACAGTTTGCATGTTCGCTCATGCACGGTGCGTCCCGGAGGCGTCGCACGCGGTCTTCAAGCAGCCACAGTTGCCACAAATTTATTTTTGCGTCATTATTTACAGTGTTTACGGGTGTATTCTTTGCAATATTAGTCACTAATTATGTTGCACATAATTAGAACCCAGTTGCATTATGTTGAACCCAGTGTTGCAGCATGCTGCAACACTGGGTTCATGATTGGTCTTCGTATGCCAGGGACTTCTTGACCAAACTTTGCTAATAACTGTGTTGCAAGTGTAAAAGCAAATGAACGAAAAACAGGTTTACGTCCAGTTTTCACCGGGTACAAATTATAGCAGTTCAACATGCTCATGTCAACAAGACGGAAAAACACTTTTCGTCCACCTCAATGTTTTCCGCACACACTCGATAGTGCCAATCATCATGTCAGCCTTATCAATCAAACGCATATTGATATTGTAGTAAAGAACACAATCTGGCTTATATACTGGTTCTCTAGTTACATGGTGCACCTTGCCACTGTTCAACATTGTACCCTCATGAACGGTTGTCAGCAGGTTCACTTCTCTCTTGTCTTTCCACCGTACTGAGAGTATTTCATCACATTTCCGTACCTGGCACTCACCAACTGCAAGTCCACCGCCAAACGCTGGCATTTCCCTTCTTCGTGGCTTTACTGTGCCAACCAACCCGGTTCTATTTTCAATCAAGAACTTAGCTAGCAATGGACTCATATAGTAATTATCTGTGTATAGGATGTGGCCCTTGTTCATCCATGGTGCCATCAGTGACTTCGCCACACTACCAGAGAAACCATGTTCGTCGTTACCAGGAATGTCTACATCGCTAGCTTGAATACAGAATCATGTGTAACACATATCCTGTTTCACATATTCCCTCAAAACAAAACAGATTTGGCTTGAAATTCTTTGTACTGTGTGACTGTAATTGCCACTTAGGTAATTACAGTCACACAGTACAAAGAATTTCAAGCCAAATCTGTTTCGTTTTGAGGGAATATACTGTTTGAATGAAACACGTCCTTTGAATAGTATAAGGGATTCGTCAATCACCAGCTTTTGTGCTGGTACGTAAAAATCTCTGAATTTTCCAATCACCTCATTCATATAGTGCCTCACTCGCCAAAGTCTATCCTCCTCAGTCCGGTCCTCATTAGTTGCAAAATGCACACACCTGAGGAGTATCTGAAATCTGTCTCGGGACATATATTTCCCAAAGAAAGGTGTTGGAATAGTCAGATCTTTGCTCCAGTAATCTGAGAGAGCGTGTTTGACACAGTGTTTCATCAACATACATATTGCAAGAAACACATACATTTCACCTATATTGGTGTTTTTCCAACATTGCAAGCGTGAAAATTCTGTTATCTCTTTTCTAATGAGATGAGCCGCATGAAGGTTCGTTTGGTGTACAATATATTCCATGAGCGGTTCATCACAGAATGCGGTAAAATAATCACATTCACTCATATCATCACCATTATCAGGGAAAAGCTCTGTAATCCCAGCGTCTTTATCGTCAAAGGCAGGAATTCGGGGAATAAAACCAGCACCATCACTCCACACTAGTACACTTGGTGTCCTGCGAGACGCAAGGGACGCAGCAGAGGCACTACGGCGAGGAAGCGATGCACCCCGTGGACCAGGAGCTGAAGCCCGTCTACACACAGTACGGCCGCTACCTGCACGTGAGGTAGAGGCACGTGCGCGTGAGGTAGAGGCACGTGCACATGAGGCTCTTGGTGCCACATGTTGTTCCATGCGGTGGCGCTTGGCTGGCCGAGACACTGCTGACGCGACAAAATCTTGCCCAGTAACACCACTGGTACTGGCACCAGGCTCGGTAACACTATGTTCTGATTCCACTTCACTAAAACCAGAAAAAGTCACCTTCCTCTGACTCGTCACCGAAAGTATCTTCAGACTCTAAATAATCACAGGAACTGTGTGGCCGAGGGAGAATTGGGGTAGACACTGGCCGAGGCGGCATGGGTGAGCGAATAGGCCTCGCCATGGGAGGCAGCTGTATCTCGTATTCACTGTCCGTGCTATCAACATCGGTCAATTGTGTGTAGTCTTTATCAATATCAGAGTCATCAAAGTCACTTTCCTCACCATCGGAAAATAATTCACTGGTTATTTGCTGCTGGGTGAGTGATTGTGTGGAGCGTGCCTGGGAAGCTTTCGGCCGTGCGCTCGACATGGTGGCTGCTGGGTAACTGAGGCCTCCCAAGCGATGGTAGCGTGAGCTGGATTTTTTTTCAAAATGGCGGCTGTTTACTATAGCCCCTGGGCAGCATATGGGGACCCCCTCTACCCCGCGGGCCTTTCAAATCGTGCTCGGTACGCCCGCACATCATATGATGCGATGCGCAATTGAAGGGTTCATGATTGTATGTGTAATGTACTCTTCGTAAATAGCAGATTTGACACCTATGTTTTATTAATTACTTTTTTTTACAGACTATGGTTATATTTCATGTAAAAAATTTATGTACAGTAAATAGTAATTATTTATGTAGATGTATTTATCAAAATATTTGCAAATTCAGCTTTACGTATTCTGTCTTGCAGTTCCTAAATCCTATTTATGCCACATTGTTTCTGTATATTTTCTCATTACATGAAGCTTACACACACACACAGATATAGTCCCCTTGTTTATAACAAATTGACTTAATCTGTAGGGCAAAATGTTGCATTACCTTTGCCATCTTTAGCTTTAGGCTACTTTTCTATAGGTAAGGACCACGTACATACTGTCCTTGTATACTTTCTGAAGAAAAAAATAGTTTGCCTTCACATGTTTGAAAATAAAATATACAGCAGAATTTTTCTTTTGGTAATACATTTTTATACATCAGTGCATTACAGTATTGTATTATTTATTTTATATAAACGTTTTAGAAATTGCTTGCACTTGTATTGTGCTACATAGTCTCCCTGGCTTGGTGTCTTCTTTTGGTAATTACTTTTGGTAATTAGACTACGAAATTCAAGATGGCCACCGGCAAGAAGAAAAGCAAAACAGCTAGATTTTGGTGGATTCGGTGAGGAAAGTATTAATATAAGCAGTCTACACAAGAAGTTGGCAAAATTAGACATTACCGTATTGTGAACTACATATCATGTAGAAATAATCAGTAAATTGAGAGAAAGTAATAACCACTTGTGTAGCAAAGTATTAGATCTTGAAAGGCTTGTGCAAGACTTATGCAAGGAAAACAATCAATGGGAAGCTAAAAGCAAAGCCACAGAAGAGGAAAATAGTCTTAAAAATAGCTTTTGAAGATGTTAAAGCAAATCTAAACAAGAATGACAATAATAGGTTAAGTAAGGAAATCCAACATGAAAAAACAGCCTTTGTCATTAGAGATGGAGAAAGTTACACAGGGACAAGAACAGTACAAGAAGGCAACCCATCCTCCTCTTTAGATAGTACCTAATATGGAAGTGTCAATAGTCATAAATTTGTACGTATTTAACTTTTAGATAGTAGTATACTGTACTAACTAGTAAGCAATTGTTTTAAAATAACTGAAGCTAAAAGACACCTAAATATTCCTAGGCCTAGGTACAGCACACACATGCACTTTATTAAACATCAGAAATTGTGTATTAGGGGCCTAGGGAGGTTAGGTTAGGTTTAGTTTGTCAAAGCAACACAAGTAAAAAATCGTTTTCCGGTTTGTCCAACTTAATAATTCTGATTTATACTTTAATTTTGTTGTATGTTGGTATATACTGTATAGTGTGGTCCTCATCATTACTATAAGTATTACCAAAATGGGGATGGGCAGAAGTAGAATATGCAACTCACTTGTGCACAAGTGGCCAGGGAGAAAGTAAAAAAATAGAAGCAGCAGTAAAGGAAGCCAAACACTGTGGCAACCAGAATAAAACAAACATTAGGTTGGAAGTCAGAAAGGAACTAGCATTAGAACCGAAATTGGTGCAAAACACAGTCAATCGACGTAAGTTTCTATTAATTTTTAGTTGCAAAGAAAAGGAGATAACATCTAGGTCAGAAAGAGCCATAGAAGAAGCAAAGGTAGTAGATAAAATTGTTGGGCTAGTGGAAGGTCTTACAACCAAAGTTATTGTCTGTGACTACAGGAAAATTGGCAGGTACAAAAAAAGGGAAAGATTGATCCTTGAGGATCTCCCTAAATGGTGCTAAACAGATGGAAGAGGTAATCAGGAATGTAAGGAAACTACAAAGTGACGAGGAAGGGAAATTATGGTCATTAAGACAAGATCTTTCAAAAGAAGACAGAAGCTGGAAATAGACCTTGTCGAGGCAAAACTGGCAAAAATGAAGAGCAGGAACAAAGAAGAAATCAAGTCTTTTCTGGGGGAGTCCCGTCAGCTCCCGTGGAGCTATCCAGGCCTAAGTGTATCTATTAGCTTTCTGACATCAAAGTGCATGGAGTTCTTACCTACCGAGGACCACGAGCCAGAACCTATCTCCCTCAGAGGCATGAAAAGCAATGGCCTATAGACACCTCTGTGTGGTTGGGAGCATTCTA